TGCCTCTTTGGAAACATGGGAGCTGCTAATGCGGACAGGAAGATGGCTCCTCTCTCCACACGTTGTGGGCCACAGTGTGTTCAAATAGCCATGTGTTTTGGTGATTATGAAGAGAAGAGAACCGGGTTTGGTTTTTCTTGTCGTCTAATTGTTAAGAGAATATTTTGATGTTGAAGGAGTTGATTGACAGCAAAAAACCAAAACAAATGATCCATCTAAAATGATCCATACGAGGAATGGGAAAATGGCGATGGGAAAGCTCCTTCTTATGTTAAAATCTGCTTCTTCAAACACTATGGTGATGTCAGACTCAGTTAGTTCTATATTCAAATCAATGTATTTGTGTATCGCCCTAAATCACAACAGCAGTCGTCTTGGAGCACTTTAATTAAAAAACACATAAACCCATTTGTCCATAGGGAGCAGAATGACTACTGTCCAGAAATGATAATAAATGTGCAGAAATGTTCCGGATCATCACTGTCCATATACCCTCCTGCAATGGAAAAAAACCACTCAGAAAATCCAGGACTGAGGCTGAAGATCCAGGACTGAGGCTGAAGATCCAGGACTGAGGCTGAAGATCCAGGACTGAGGATATAGAACGAGGACTGAGTGGGCGTTGCCTGGGCTGGGGTAGCTGCATGAATCTGATTTGCTGCCTCCCCATGTTTAGTCCTGGCTCCACAGTCCCAGCAGGAGGCCAGTCCCTGTGCTCCACAGAGTCCCAGCAGGAGGCCAGTCCTTGTGCTCCACAGAGTCCCAGCAGGAGGCCAGTCCCTGTCCCTGTTTTTCATTTGTGCAAATATCTCTGTATATTCCTCTTCAGTAAACTTGAAAAATAGCTTTTCAACAACATCAACATTTACCTTGCTCAGTGATGATTTCAATGTTTAAGCACATTACGTTTATTAATTCTCTTTTTTCAATCAATCAATCAATCCTTTATTATCTCACACAGATGGAGAAATTCAGTTCGATGAATAAACATCAAGGCCGGCCGCGTACTCTAATTTTCCGCGCTCCTTATGACAGTTATTCAACAGCAGAGAGCAAAACAGACACATATTTCAACAAACATGGGGAGAGACACGGTACATGTGGAAAAACATGCGGATCTTTTTAATGGGAAGTCATCACTCTGGCCCGCCTCGTCCAATATAGCGCGTCAGAGGGGAGTGTGGGTGGGGGAGGTGGAGGGGAAGACCACCATAAACTGAAAAAGAGAGAGAGGCAGACATGTAGAAGGGGGGGGGGGGGGGGGGGACTGTAACTGGTGTTATGGGTTGTGAGTCTGAGATAGATAAGAGTCCAGTGTCAGCCTTGAGTGGCCGTGTGTGGTGGTGGAATGTGAAGGACAAAGATAGCGCAGGTGCCTGCAAACATTGGAGACAAAACAACACATGCCCTTGTGGGAAATTTGTATAAGCACTTTAGCTGATCAATGAAAGGCAGTGTAAACTAAAGCCAATATGTCCAAATTATACTGGAACTGGACCCTCCGTTCACCGTTATCCGGAGTTGACCACGTCAGTACGAGGTTCCACCGTGAGGCCCAAGTCCTTCAATCAATCCTTCCAAGCGTTTAAGTCCATCCAAAGATCTCACTCCCAGGTCGTTAAGGGAATGTTCGATCCGACTCACACCCCGTTGTGTCCCCACTGTGCCCTCGACCACGACTCTGACCAACTCGCGGAAACTCTCCTTGTTTTCCGCGGACAGCCGCTCGTAAATATTCTGAGTGGACAGCCCTCCAACTTTGCGGTAGATCAAGCCAACTCCAAATCCAATCAGGAGGAACCCTGCTACCATAAATCCAAAAATGTATATATCCTCAATGTCCTCGATGGACAGTCCCGACAGACAAACGGGGTGCCACTTTTGCCAGTTGTCAAAAACGTACCCAGCAGCCGCCGTACCATCCGGGCAAACGGCATCTCCAGAACCGCCTTTACGCGATGAAAAAATAGTATCAATTGCGTTGAGGGACCAGTTGATTAATTCCATCATTTTTCAAGTTGTATACAGGCAGAAGTCTAGGAAAAAAGACAGTCAGGGCAAGCAGAGCAGGAGCAGGCAAGAGACACGTCTGACCTCGAGGAGAGCAGGAAGAGAGCATCTTCCCTTTCCTTCCATTCGTTGGTGTCCTAATGGAACATATGTAGAGTGACAGTGGCAGCTTGCAGACATTTTTCTATTTGTCATAAAAGTAAAACTAATCTTTGTTGCTAAAAGTGAAGCCTGAGGAGCTGCAGAGTTTCTGAGGAACATAATGTACTTTGTTCAATCTGCCATCTGTAATTAACTGTGTGACATTTAAAGACGTGAAGTGAAAGGGGGACAGAACTACTAAATAGACTTTTCACAGCTTTTGCCAAACTCAAAACTGTTTTTAGAGCAATCTGTGCAAGTTTGAGCCATCTATAATATCTTTTACCCACAGACTGTATAAAACAAATATATATAATATAAAATGAGCGATGAATGAATATCACACACTGTCCCTTTGCTTCACACTTTTCCCAACGCAAATCGATCCATCTCTTTCCTTCTCACACTTTCAGAACCTTTTCTCTTGTTGACGGAACAACTAACAGCTTGTAATATTGAAATGGTTGTAAAGCCGTTTCCTTGAAGGCGTTGAACGTCGCAGAGCGAGTCGAGCACAAAGGACTTAATTGCCTCCACATGCAGCTCTCACTGCTCTCCACTGTGTCCTCTTAATGAATAATAACTACAGAACTCTCAGCCTCGTTTGTCTTTCCATTACACCGTGACAAACCGCGTGAGTTTCCGTGGCGCTGCTCTCTCCCGCATCGACAGCTCATTTTCTTAAGACAAACTCGCCGTCATCTTTTCACAGGTTATAATAACACTGTCATTGGTGACCTAGATTTCCAAAGCTGAACCATTAATCATTTCCCGTGGTCCAATACGGCGACCTGCTCGGAGCTGGTATAGGAGCTGCTGTAATGGACATAATAGAGTAGCAGCAAAGGTACCCTCGCGGACCACAGGGACGGCTCCACGCTCTCACAAAGGATCTGTTTAGAAATTGACAGATTAATTACTCGGTTTTATTTCCTCTTTCTCTGTGGGGCTCTGAAGGCACCGCGGTGTCCTTACCCCAGGGCGCTCCAGGTCAAAGTTGCAAATTAATCAAATGCAGACAGAGGCGACAACAACGCGGCAGAGCGTGTGTTAGGGGCAGATTTAAACTGATTGTAATGAATGTTAATAGGTTATATAATAGAAACAAAATAAATATGCAGACGCCATATCTTACAATAGAAAATAAACCCAAAATATGTACTATTATTGAGCTATAGATCTGACAGAAATATGCCCTGTTTACACAAGGCCTACTTGGCCCCATTCTACTCTACTCTACTCTGCTTTACTCTTCTTTACTCTACTCTGCAATACTCTCCAGACATTTTCCACGGATACTAGTTTGTTGTGAGTAGGTTGTGTCGTAGAGTAGATAGATAGATACTTTACTGATCCTGAGCATAAAACTCTGCATGCATGAACAATAGATCTCTCTCTATTGTTCCCAAACATGTCTAAACCTGTGTCAGTGAGCTCTTATTCTTTGCTGAGACAATCCACCCCACCTCATAGATGTGACGTATCAAGATTCCCTGACTTGTGCCACATGTGTGTGTGTGTGTGTGTGTGTGTGTGTGTGTGTGTGTGTGTATGCACTGTGGAAACGTGTGGTCTACATTTGACCCATCCCTCGGGCCCCCAGTGGATAAAAGGTCACTCTGAAATCGTCGTATTCTTTTTTATTTAACTTTATTTAACTAGGTTGACCTTTATTTAGTGGCTAGTGGTTCTTATAGAGTGGCTGGTGCTCAGTGAAATGCGTGGCAGCTGATTGCCAAGCTCTGCTTGTGTACAAGTCTCTCCATGGCCGTACAATTAAGTACATTTGTGACATGTTAATGTCATATGAACCAATCTCGGACTCTGAGGAGCACAGGGACTGGCCTCCTGCACTGAGGAGCTAGGAATAACTTCCTGCTAGAAAATGATAAGGCAGAGTTTCAGATATATGCAGCCATATATCAGACTGAAAATATCAAGATATTTTCAGTCTTCCTGAAAATATGAAACAGGCTTCTGCTCTGACAATGTTCATATCCAGTTTAAAAATGCAGCCTGCAGAAATTCAGTCTGGTAAGCTAACCGCTGCAGGCCATCCCATCCAGGCCGGCCCCTCTCCTCCTCGACCTATCACACAGTAAAGCCAATTCCCTGCCAACCTATGCCAGCCAAGCCAGCAGCTTAAAAGCGGAAACTCCCATGCAACTACACCTTCTCCAGCCTCCCCGCCTCCTTCTGGACGCTCTCATCCCTGCTTTTCCTCATGCTACCACCAGTACCTAAATCCCGGGGGATCTTAAGCGCAGACAAGCAAGGAGCTTCACGGACCAAAGTGCCGCTATCGGGATCTAGGGTGCCAAACAATCAAATTAAGAAACCATTTAACTTATTTTGTGTCTTGTAGTCTCTCCAGATTAAAACAGTTCTGTTTCACTGCAACAACTGAAGGATTGTATCTTCACTCTTTTTAATGTACTATGATTATTTCTTATTTTGTTCAGCATGTTGGGATGCCTTTTATATTAAAGGAGCTATACCTGTTTCTGCAAGGTTTGAATGTTTAGCACCGCCCCCCAACTCGCTCACAGGCTTCTTGTGGCAGCCTAGGGGTAGTGGGATATAATGGAGAAAATAAGTGGAATTATAACAGGTTAAAATATGTAAGTAATGAAATAGACCAAGCAACGCCACGACCGGAGTTTCACCGGAAGAGTACTGTATAAAATAAGGACACACAGGTAAGTATTAAAAGATTAAAATGCACCAGGTTCCAAGTTTAACAGGGTTAACAAGTTTATTTTACAGTGTAATCAATGACAGTTATGTATTTAATGAAATAGATAAAACTCAAGTGCTACATTCATACTCTCTCGTTCTCACACACAAACTCACATCCACTGCCTATTGCACATTCCCACAAGTAGCGTGCGCCCCAGAGCCGGGGTGCAGCACTTGCTAAAGTGCGTGAGTGCAATCGAGGCAGCGATGCAAAGCTGCAGAGCCAAGCAGCAGGTTAGAAAGAGCGGAGGCAAAGCAGCTGGAGCCAAGCTGAAGCGAAGCAGCTGAAGCTGAGCAAAGCAGCAGGGGGGCGTGTGCCAGTGCCGCTGGAACGAACCTAAAAAGAGATTAATTTAGAAAGTTACCGAAACAAACCCTAACAAAATAACAAAAAGGAGGAAAAAAAGTCAATCTTAATACATAAATCCTAGCAATTCGAAGTCACAAACACGCGCGGTCCACAACTTTAGGCCAGGGGAGGAGGCTGCGCTCAGAGCAGCCACTATGAATGGGCGGACCGACCCGCGCCACTAGTGGTTCGTAATGCTGACCACAACCAGCTAAATATAAAGTTAGAATTTGAACTGGGCATGAATGAAGTTTTTATTAAAATAATTACCTTTTTTTTATACACGCCACAGCGCATGGGACTGCGCAGCTCCTAGGCTTGGGTCAAGCAGCGTGACTACAGAGGGTGGATCACATTACAAACTGTGCCCGTGTGGTATCCTTGTCATTAAAGAAGTCATAAACACCGGGTGGCTTACACGGGGGTTTAATCATCATCATGTAGCCAACAACATAACAGAGCATGAACCCGCCAAGTGCACTCTTAATATTCCCCTTATCCCACACTGCCACCTATAGGTTTGTGGTAAGATAACACTATCCTATATTACACTCCTCCCCCCTTAAGCGAGTACTAATATTACCATAATGAATAAACCAAACAAACTGTTACAAGCCCTTCTAAACACAGTTAACTTAACTTAGCTTGACACTTAACATAGTAACGGTTTTCTTCTTTTTTATTTCTAGTTTACTTTCCACAGACATAGTCTTTCAGAAAATTGGGTTGAAAAAGTGACAATAGTGGTTTGTGGTCTGTGGAAATGACAAACCTCCTTCCATACAAGTACTTATGGAAACGCTGAATGCCGAACATCACTGCCAGTCCTTCCTTGTCCAGTTGTGAGTAGTTGGATTCGGCTGGAGTGAGTGTCCGTGACATGAAGCCAATAGGTCGCTCTTGCCCGTCTGACATACGATGTGACAACACCGCCCCCACACCGTAAGGCGACGCATCACAGGCCAATAATAAGTCTTTCTGGCTGTCATAATGCACTAAGACCTTTGACGACTGCAAGAGTTTCTTAGACTCCCCAAAAGCCCTCTCTTGCTCCTCCTTCCAACACCAAGGTGTATCCTTTCTCAACAGTTTATGTAAGGGCGCAAGCAACGTCGACAGGTTTGGTAAGAATCTGTTGTAGTAGTTAAGTAAACCTAAGTACGACTTCAATTCTGTGACATTTTTGGGTGCAGGTGCTTGTTCGACGGCCTTTACCTTGTTTGGCAGGGGATGGAGCCCCGCAGAATCCACTTTGTGCCCCAGGAATTCCGCCTCTCGCTCCAGAAGGCACATTTATTGTGTTTCAATCGAAGACCTGCCTCTTGTAGCCGCCTCAGAACCTCATTTAACGTCTCCAGATGCTCGTAGTCACTCCGGCCCGTCAGCAGGATGTCCTCCAGGTACACAGCCACAGCAGTCCTTCCATCATCCGTTGAAATATAGCGGGACTGGAAGAAACACCAAATGGTAATCGATTCACCTGAAAGAGCCCTTTGTGTGTGTTAATGGTGACATACGGCTTTGATGTCTCATCAAGAGAGACTTGTTGATATGCGTGACTAAGGTCCAGTTTGCTGAACTTCTCTCCGCCAGTCAGCTTCTCAAACAAATCTTCCAATCTTGGTATTGGATACTGCTCTAGCTTAGAGACTGGGTTCACTGTGAGTTTGTAGTCTCTACAAATGCGTGCCCCTCCGTGAGGCTTCAACACCGGTACTATTGGTGCAGCCCATTCTGAGAACTTCACTGGTTCAATGACACCCTGCTTGGTGAGTCTCTCCAGCTCTGTCTCTACTTTCTTCCTCATGGCATAAGGTACGGGCCTAGGCTTGTAGAACTTTGGGGCAACATTCTCTTTTATGTATATTTTTGCCGGCGGCCCTCTCCAGGTCCCCAGTTCCTCTTTAAAAACCTCTTCGTTCTGTTTAAGCACATTTTGTAAAGTAAGTGGAGAATGATCCATTTTGTTGACATGCACACAGTTCATTTCCAACTCCCTTAGCCATGCTCGACCTAGCAAGTTTGGTCCTCTGCCATATACCACGACCAGTGGTAACTGTTTGACTTTGTCCTTGCACGTCACCGTCACTTTTGTAGTCCCTAATGTAGAGACTTTTTCCCCCGTATATGTTTTCAAAGTCAATGGGCAATTTTGCAGTTCTTGTGCCTTTCCTTCTGGTCACACACTTGTTGTATTCAGTCTTTGTCAAAATCGTCACACTACAGCCGGTATCCACCTCGAACATTACTTTTTTTCCATTTATTACTAGCTGTGTGGTAATAGGGTCCACCTTTTCTAACTTTGATTCTTTTACTTTGTGTAATGTAAACACTTCTTCACTACAATCACTAGATTGTGTCTCAGAGGACTCAATCATGTGGTGTGCATACTGTTTTTTTTTCTTACGGCTACCTTTCTCCCCCTTCACAAAACTCTTTCCACCCCCCTTAGTCTGCTGGGCACCCGGAGGCGCGGACCTGCACATTTTCTTCACGTGCCCTTTTTTCCCACAGCCATGCCATTTTTCATTTATAAAACGACAGTCCCGCGCAAAATGATCACCCCCACACCTGTAACAGTCTGATGGAACGCTCTTACTTTGTCGTTTATTCTCCGTTCCCACTTTATGCACTGTCATTGGTGTTGCATCTTTCCCCGCCGCACTGTCCAGCGTCGGCTGCAAGTCACGCACATCCCTGTTTGCCGTTTCGATGGCCTGCGCGATTTTCAAGGCCTCTTCAAATGTCAATTCGGGCTCCGCCAACAGCCTCCTCTGTATGCGGTCCTCCGCATTGCCGCACACGAGCCTATCCCGCAGCATCTCCTTCAGCTTGTCCCCGTAGTTGCAATGTTGAGCCAGCTCCCTCAGCACAGCCACATACTCCGTCACAGTTTCGTTTGCCGTTCTAGTCCTGGAAATAAATTTAAATCTCTGGACTATTTCACTGGGCTTTGGATTGAAATGTGACTGAAGCAGGTTAGTCAACTCCGTGAATGACTTATCACCAGGTTTGTCCGGGCTCAATAAGTTTCTCATCAAACTGTATGTCTTGCTTCCAACGGAGCTCAGCAATATTGCACGCTTTCTTCCTGCATCAGTGATGTTATTAGCCTCAAAGAAGTGTCCCAAAACCTGACAGTACTCCTCCCAGGTCTGTGCTTGACTGTCAAATACCAAAAGCGTCCCCAGCATAGCCGCCGCCATTCCTCCGGCAACTGCGTTAGCCTGGTTAGCTCCCTCGTTGTCCGACATTGGCCGAAAATCAATTCAGAAACGCTCGAGCCGTTTTCTTCCCAACAGCGTCTTCGAGCTCACCAGTATCCTCGTCGCCAAATGTGGTATCCTTGTCATTAAAGAAGTCATAAACACCGGGTGGCTTACACGGGGGTTTAATCATCATCATGTAGCCAACAACATAACAGAGCATGAACCCGCCAAGTGCACTCTTAATATTCCCCTTATTCCACACTGCCACCTATAGGTTTGTGGTAAGATAACACTATCCTATATTACAGCCCGGGCGACTTTATGAATGACATTAAAGCCTGCATGGTTGTACCTGTCGCTGCAGTCGAAAGCACGCTACGGGAGCCTATGGCGCATGAGGGTGTAGACCCAGAGGAGTGCAGACACTGAGCTGGGAAAAGATCATTGGCTTTGTAAATGTGCGTTTTAATACTGTGATGGAAGCAGTAGTTTACCTGACGCGCAGAGGTTTTAGGTGCTTTGGGGAACCAGACAGCGGCACTGGATGCGTGGAGCTGTGACAAACACACAGCTGCAGAGGCGTGAGGGCAAAGAGGGGCAAATGAGAGGAGGAGCGCTTATAAAGCCCACCGGGGCGGCCCGTGGGGATGCAGGCGCATCCTCAACACTGGCCTCAGAGCCGTTTTACCACATTCTCATTTCCCGTACGCTCTCATTCCACGGAGCCATCTAGTTTTATTTGCGATCTGATACATATGCTAACATTAGCATTAGCGCAACTTAAGCTGTACAACAATCACTGATGAAATGTTACAAAAGCAACGCACTGCTAACAAAATAAATAACTGAAAGATTACCACTAGTTTCGCGTCCAAATGTAATCTGAGCATAGATAGTCCGAGCATAGATAGTCCGAGGCGGTCCCGCAGGTCTCTCCATAGAGAAGTCTCTCTAGAGGATACGATGTAAGCTAGCTACAGTAGGTCCCATTCCGTTTTGTCGTCTTCATTCACGCTTCTCGGGAATCACGCAGCTGCGTGAAAAATAGTACATCTTATCGCCACAAGGTGGCAGGCTAAGTCCGCTTTAGCTCTGCCAGCGACTTAGACGCTCAGGTATGATACTGCATGCAAACCTGTCTAGCCCAGAGATGCTATGTTGGCCAAATGGATAACATTGAAGACCAGGACCTGGAGAACCCAAGTTCGATTCTTGTCTGAGGCAATTTTGGTTGCACATCTTTTGGTTGCTTGTGGCAAAATTGTTTTTTCATTAAACAATTATTATATAACATCTTGTCTTTAATGTCTGAAAAAATCTAGGTGAAATTCACTAGTGTTATACGTTAAATATTGTGATATGTTTTGATAAACCGAACGTTACGTTACATCCTCCGCTCTGGCCCCGGGAGCAGCTGCTGTGACCCCCGCTCTGACAGTGAACGCACTGCAGTCTGGGCTCCGAGCGCGGACCATAGACACGCGAACAGAACCACAGACAGGACCATAGACACCCGAACAGAACCACAGACAGACATTTACATTTACATTTACATATACGCAGACAGAACCCAGACAGGCGGAGACACGCGAGACACGCGGATCATAGACACCTGGACAGAACCAGAGACACACGAAGCATAGACACTCGAGTCGGACAGGTCCATTTGTTTTATTTGTGTTTAAAGTTACCTAATTTCTCCTTGCATTAAAAATGCTTGGTGGTTGTGGATATTTAGACTGCGTGATTTGATAGAATAATACTGGCAATGTCTAATACATATCTAATTTTCAGTAAATTATAAAGAGAAAGAAAAAGAAGAGGAGGTCAAAATTCAATCCATTGAATATTGAAAGAATCAATACATTCTTGATTTTCGACTAATTCATGAGTGTTGTGTGTTTAATTGGTGCCGAAGTAACATCTTTTTAATCTTCTACAACATAGTGACTAAAACAAGTGTGCCATAACAGAGTAATTCAAATTTTACATGTTATATGACTGTGATGATTATGTTTAGAATGTCAATCTTTAAACCTGTTTTTCTCAGAATTCTGTTTCATAAAACCATGTAAATACGCTGACTTCAGATTATGAGAACTTTTGTTACAGACATGCTATGGAGAAAAGGAAAACAGATTTGAAAAGATATTGACAGCAGCTTTAAGATGTGCGAGGCGAGCCTGGCCTGGGACCTACGGGCCACCTCAAGAAGTTCACGCTGAACTTTCTTAGAAATAAAATGAAAAAGGATACTCTGTTGTGAATGTTTTGAGAGCATTGTCAGTCCTTAAGAGGAGGAATAGCTGTTGTTCTCGGGGAACGAGCTTCGCGCTGTGTGATATGATCATGCAGCTTATTGGACAAAATTGTTTAGCCAATAAACGGAACTATATTTGAAGCAACGTAGGAACGTGATGACGCTCAGGGGGTTATATTTTCTAAAAAAAGATTAGAACGCAACATTTAGTTAATAATGTGTGTATAAAAATAAAAAATATTGAAATTATGACTTTAAACAAAAAAGTCTAATGACTTGAGAGGCAAAGAACAAAATTGGGAAGGCCAAGAAAAAAACTGGTACTGTATAGGCACCGGCCTACCCAGGCCTATCCCTGGCCGCGGCTGGGCCGTGCATGTGAATGTAAATGTGTTTCTATTGAATGCTATTTCTTTCTTTATAATCTTTATCTTTATAATACGAATTGCATTAACGTATATATTTAAAATAATTATGTATTGTCTATAGAATTCTATGCGAATTCGAAAATAAAGACATTCTGAAAGCGATCTGCCTCTCGTGATTTTTTAGTGAGGTCTTCTGGTATTTACTGTTTGGCTGAGCAAAGTTTTAATAGTATTGGTTAAAATAAATCCCATTTTCAAACACGGCGTGATGTAAATAAGAGAGAGAGCGAGAGAGAGACGCTGACGCATTTTGGCTCAGTGCGCTGGTGTGCAATCAATGGAATACATCACAATACTCATCAAACAAGATCCATTCAGTTTTATCATTGGAGGAAATGTTTATTAAATTAGCAATTGGCACCTTGACAAAACACTGGATATAGAAATCCTAACAATAGTAGGCTAATATAGGCTAACGTGGACATCCCTTGGCCCGTGGGGATATCACATGCCAGTTATAATAATAATAATAATAATCTCTTTATTACTCCCCCCCTGGACTGCCACCTTAACGTGGTGGGGGAGTTTGAGTACTCGGATGATCCTGGGAGCTATGCTGTCTGGGGCTTCATGCCCCTGGTAGGGCCTCCCATGGCAGACAGGTCTCAGGTGACGAGTCAGACAAAGAGCAGTCCAGAAGACACCATGGACAGCACAGAAATGAAAACAGTGACGTCGCCCGGCATGGCGCAGCCGGGGCCCCACCCTGGAGCCAGGCCTGGGGTCGGGGCCCGTATGCGAGCGCCTGGTGGCCGGGCCTTAGCCCACGGGGCCCGGCCGGGCTCAGCCCGAAGGGATGACGTGGGCAGTCCCTCCTGTGGGCCCACCACCTGCAGAGGGGTCCGTGGTGAAGCGGTGCTGAGAGGACTGGGCGGCAGTCGAAGGCGGAGACCTCGGCGACCCAGTCCGCACACACAACATCTGGCTCTTGGGACGTGGAACGTCACCTCACTGGGGGGGAAGGAGCCCGAGCTCGTGGGGGAGGTTGAGCGATACCGACTAGAGATAGTCGGCCTCACCTCCACACACAGCTTGGGCTCTGGAACCCAACTCCTTGAGAGGGGTTGGACGCTCCACTTTTCTGGAGTTTCCCGCGGGGAGAGGCGGCGAGCTGGGGTGGCCATTCTCATTGCCCCCCATCTCAGCCGCCACGTGTTGGAGTTCTCCCCGGTGAATGAGAGGGTCGCGTCCCTCCGCCTCCGGGTGGGGGACAAGTCTCTCACTGTTGTGACGGCCTACGGGCCTAACGGCAGTGTAGAGTACCCGGCCTTCTTGGAGTCCTTGGGAGGGGTACTGGACGGTGCACCGCCCGGGGACTCCGTTATTCTCCTGGGGGACTTCAACGCCCATGTGGGAAACGCCAGTGACACTTGGAGAGGGGTGATCGGGAAGAGCGGCCCCCCTGATCTGAACCCGAGCGGTGTTCAGTTGTTGGACTTTTGTGCCAGTCGCGGTTTGTCCATCACGAACACCATGTTCGAGCACAAGGGTGTCCACCAGTGCACGTGGCACCAGGACACCCTAGGCCGGAGGTCGATGATCGACTTTGTTGTCGTATCATCTGACCTTCGACCGCGTGTCTCGGACACTCGGGTAAAGAGAGGGGCGGAGCTGTCAACCGATCATCACCTGGTCGTGAGTTGGATCCGCTGGCAGGGGAAGAAGCCGGTCAGACCTGGCAGACCCAAGCGTATAGTGAGGGTCTGCTGGGAACGTCTCGCTGAGCCCCCTGTCAGACGGACTTTCAACTCACACCTCCGGGAGAGTTTCTCCCAGGTCCCGGCGGAGGAGGGGGACATGGAGTCCGAGTGGACCATGTTCTCTGCCTCAATCGCCGATGCGGCGGCTCGTAGCTGTGGTCGCAAGGTCTCTGGTGCTGGTCCCGGCGGCAACCCCCGAACCCGGTGGTTGCCGCCGGGACAATAAAACAAGGGCCTAACAAACAAACAATAAAAACAGTCATTGCCTCTCCCTTCAACGCTATGACCTGGTCGATGACTTTGTCCAGGTGGTCTATATATTTATTGCAGACCTGGGTTGTGAGTTTGTTTAGCCAAAAAAACTCTATTGCGGAGATCAGTGCGTCCTTGCTCATCGGCTTGGCCTCACAGCGAATGTATCTTTTCATGGACGCCCACACTAGCTCAATGGGGTTCAGATCCGGCGACCTTAAACAAAAACACATGGACATGTCAGCACTGTTAGCCTATTTTCCGATACAGCATGTATTCATCCAGAATATATATATATATATATATATATATATATATATAAAATAACTACGGTAACTCACTCTGCCGGTGTCGGTACCCAGTTGATCCCCTCCCTTTGAATGCAGGCTTTGACACTTTTTGCTG